ATTTAAAAAAAAGAACAAATCTGAAGTGCTCACTCCAAAACTAATGGAAACTTTAAGTATAACAAAGCAGTAAAGGAACACAATTAAAATTCATATTTGCCTCTTCTGCAAATAAAACATGCGCATTTCAAATCCAGCAGACCGTACTCAAAAAATCCTGCCCTTAGTTTCACAGAAGCCACACCATTAGCAAAGTAATCCCTACTGCACAAGTGCTGAAGGTATTCAGTATCACACAATGCCAATATTTGCATGCAAAATTAGAAAAACAATTCAAACATCCTTCAAATTCTCACTGCCACTTTACCCTGCAGAGGAAGTCACTTACTCGTGCCTTGCCAAATTCAGCTATGTCATATTACTGCACTACTGTTGGCTAAAGGACTGTGAAGATTTTCAGTGCTTTTTTTATTTTTTTAATAGCAACAATTTACTATCTCTACCAGCAATGTATGAATAATCTACCCAGCCTAATTTACCCAGCCATGTGAATACTTAAATCCATTTACTGCAAGGAGAGAAGGGCATTACAATTACTGGTTTTTCAGAAGCTGGCAGTTACTTGCGTGAGGCACAGCACAGTCATTCTAGACATCTGACATTAAAATGCTCTTAAATTTCACGTTTCAAATATGAAAAAAAAAATTAATCAAGAACAGGCAAAGGCATGACATGTTGGTAGTTTTGTGTTTTGATCAGGAAATCCTGCTCTGTTTTCTACAAGGCATGTAAGCTATTTTTGAAAGAAATTATTGTCCTGGTTTGAGGGAAACTTGAACCGACTTTCTGTTCAGTAATTTTACTTCTTCAGCCTCTTCTAACTCTCTGGAATTAACAGCATGTTGTGGAGAAAACTGTTCTCTTTTAGAGTGATACGACCAATGTTTGTACTTCATGCCAGGGAACAGTGTGCAGAGAGGCTCCTGCTTATACTTATTGCTGTAACAGCCAAGGGCAGCCAATTTTGCTATTTGCCCCATTAGAGGGTTGGAAACAGAAAAGCGCAGAGGGGTCCCACCTGTGGGGAGAAGGGGACAGGAGAGGGGACCCAAACCTGACCCACAGGGTGTTCCATCCCATCTGCCCCATGCTCAGTATAAACCTGAGGGATCCAAGGGTCAATGCTCTTCCTTTAATGTGTGACATCCAAAGAGGACTCTGTCTATTTCTCTGCCTTTGATCCCGATCTGAGCATTCCTGACTCCAGAGCTGGAACCCATTTCCCATCCGTCACTGAGTCCAGTCCATACTGGGACCGCAGTGCCCGCCGATGAAGTCATCCTGGGAGCCTGATACAGTTTTGTATATATTGTATCTATTTCATCATTTTTTTCTTATTTTATTATTAATATTTTATTAAAGTAGTTTAGTTCCTTCTAACCTTGTAAATCTTTTTATCTCTCCTCCTTTTCTCCTGGGAGCGAGAAGCAGGAGGAGAGCATCTGTCACCATCATAGGCCAATTCGGCCTAACCCACGCCCACCATGAAGTATGGTGCCCCAGTTCTGAGGTGCTCTCCTCACAAGAGGACAGGAGCCTGTTTGTCAGAGCGTGGCTGCTCACAGAGAGCGTTATTTCCTCTCTTCTCCATATCATTTCTTCCACTTGCTGTAGTGACAACCACTGCCTCCACTGCCTATCCACCGTGGCACCTTTTTCTCTGTGTACCTGGTACAGACACAACATCTTCAGCTTATTAAAGTAGTTTAGTTCCTTCTAACCTTGTAAATCTTTTTATGTCTCCTCCTTTTCTCCTGGGAGCGAGAAGCAGGAGGAGAGCATCTGTCACCATCATAGGCCAATTCGGCCTAACCCACGCCCACCATGAAGTATGGTGCCCCAGTTCTGAGGTGCTCTCCTCACAAGAGGACAGGAGCCTGTTTGTCAGAGCGTGGCTGCTCACAGAGAGCGTTATTTCCTCTCTTCTCCATATCATTTCTTCCACTTGCTGTAGTGACAACCACTGCCTCCACTGCCTATCCACCGTGGCACCTTTTTCTCTGTGTGCAGACACAACATCTTCAGTAAACTCACCTGCAGAGCGACCACCAAGTACCCCACCATGGGCACCTCTCTACTAAGGTGTCTATAGGACAACACTACTGTGCCATGCTGGAAACGTTCAATAGGCTGTGCTGATGTTTATCTGGCTCGAGCCTGTGAGCAGCTCTCACACTGACCCTTCATAGCAGGCTGCAGTGAGGTGTCTGGCAGAAGATGGATGACCCATCACACTTGGACCAGCATTTCCCAGGACTGTCAAGCATTTGGGACTCAGATGGAACACATGTGAAAAGGAGATGGTTCAAGTTTCTGCTTGAAACACATGTGCTCACACATGTTTCAGCCACCAACAGAATAAGTTATATGGGACTTCAAACAGCCTAGATCTTATTTTGTTTTTCCTGAAACCTTGTGTCCTGGGTTGAGAGACACAGGACTAACTTTTCTTCTAATGCTGGGGAAAATTGCACTTCTAGAAGACTCTGGTGTCTGAATTTGTGAAGATA